TATGCACGAACAGCTTGTAACACTCCAAAGAGAAAGGAAAACTTGAAATTGCATCATATGACCCCTTTAACATTAATTACAAGCTGCATCATAAAGGTAAATGTCTGTTGCTTGAGTTTATAGAAGGTATGGTGAATATGTGCAAGCACACATATTAATTTCACATGTTGCATTCTCTGATATCCAGGCATTCTGGGTACTTGGGCAGCACCAGCGGTTCCTGCAGCTCCAAGTCCTACCACAACATGGCCTACAACCCGTGTGCACGGTATGCCGAAAACATCCACTCCGATCCGCCGTTTCGGAAGACCCTCCAGCCTATACGCAACGAGCCCGGTGTAATCACGGCTCAGAGCTACGCGGGCCGCCGGGCACATACGACACGCTACATCATCGTCAACGAACACGAAGCTCGCAAGAAGCTCATGCGCTCAAATACACGCATACCGAGACATTACCGCCTCGCGGACGAACCGACAGAGATCGTAGAGCTTTATCCACGCAACGTGAAGTGCTACATTCCTCGTACTCCTCACCGAAGCCACCAGCCACACCTCAGTGAGGAAGAGGAGGAGGAAGAGGAAGATCCGAAGAGCAGCACGAAGAGGGGGTCGTCCAAACAGTCGAACCGTCCAAGATCGCTGTCGGATATCCATCAGACCGCACGATTCTACATTGGCGATACGATAAACAGTCAGTTGTCTATGGAGCAGGGTTTATATGGCGATCAAGAAGATGACTGGGGAAACGACCCTCAAACAAACATCCGAGGCCCAGAGTCGGCTCACAGGTACGGCGACCCATACATCAAGCACAAGACCAAGCATAAAGTGGAGCCGTCGCTGACCGAGTCGGATTCGGCATCGCTGGCATCCAGTAGTGACCAACAAAACAGCAGCACTGACCAATACATCCAAGTCATTCACAACAAAGAGAAGTACCTGAAGTCGAGTGCCAAGCTGACCAAAAAGAAATCCAAGAACAGCGTTAAATTCAATGTGTCTGGTACTAATGATCTTGTCTGCTCCAACGTTTAACCTGTTTAGAGCTAAAACTGAAATTATGGCTCGGTTCGAAAAACTGGTAAGCTGTCTACATAGGAAGCTTTTTAGGTGTACACCAACACCAAGTGTGTTTCGAAAGGTAGGTTGCATTATTATCCTACCTTCTAAAATCTGGAATACATGACGCATGTTTTAAAATCGGAACAGATTTGAAAACACTAGGCATCATACATGATCTGATGACTTTTAAGTTGTTCCTAATTGTTGCTAGAAGACATGTGACAAATGAAAACAATATGTGACCCTGGAGCACAAAACCAGTCTTAAGTAGCACGGGTGTAATTGTAGCAATAGCCAACAATACATTGTATGGGTCAAAATTATCGATTTTTCTTTTATGCCAAAAATCATTAGGATATTAAGTAAAGATCATGTTCTGTGAAGATATTTTGTAAATTTCCTACCTTAAATATATCAAAACTTAATTTTTGATTAGTAATATGCATTGCTAAGAACTTCATTTGGACAGATTTAAAGGCGATTTTCTCAATATTTAGATTTTTGTGCACCCTCAGATTTTCAAATAGTTGTATCTCCAAATATTTCCCTATCCTAACAAACCATACATCAATGAAAAGCTTATTTATTCAGCTTTCAGATGATGTATAAATCTCAATTTCAGAAAATTGACCCTTGTGACTAGTTTTGTGGTCCATGTTCACATAGCCTATGTGTTCTAAAATCAGCTCAAAATATCAAACACGTTTGATATCCTCCAGCTGGATAAAATCAGGTGGACCATCATGCACTACGCAATTTTCTGTGAACTCTAACTGCCCAAAATCTGCTAAATGACTGACTTTCGGCAACTAGCATCAGCTTGTTCAGGGCAAAAATCTGGGCAAAACGCCTGTAGTGTATTCTAGCCTTGAAATGCCACCTTCTGGCCAAATTGTAATGCAGCTTCGTATGCATCCTTTACCAGAATGCACCATGAGCAACACAGCATTCCAAACAACTTGGATTCTCCCATAGATATGCATACACATGCCTTATTAATGGCTGATTCTATGGGCCACTATATGTAAGCCGAAGAATGGTCAAAGACGGTCCGTGAACACTAGAGAGCAAGCTGACTGTGCGTCTGCAACAGCTGTTATATGCGTGTATGAATATCTATATCTGCAACAGACTTCAACAGATGATTTTACTGAACTAATAAAACCAGAGTAACATTGAGTTAATACATATTAAAAACACAAGCCAACACATCATACAGTAAATCCATCCAAGATGGTGGATAGAGTTGAGAGAAATGTTTATTATAAATAGCGCATTCCATTAAATAATGAAAAGAAAAATATGTTAGTGTATAGTGTAGCAACATGCAAATGATAAACTTGTGCCAGGTGCTGTCTATGAGGTGTGTTCCAACTCATAGACTCATTTATAAATTCCCATTGTAGTTAGGATCCAGACGCTTACTAGGGTTTGGAACAGAGCCAATGATTTGGTGTAAGACATATAGGTTTATCATATAAAAGTTGCAGTTTTGCCTTGTAAAGCACAAATAAATAACTAGTCTAAGTATACTTTGCATGTAGCCTATCTAGATTTCCTTTCAATCTGATATAAAACAAAGTATAATGTTTGGATATTTGTAGACTGCTGTCTGATTCAAGGCTGAAAAAGCGAATTCAAGATTGGGTGTGTACGAAAATAAAATTAAAATTTAAGAATCAACCAGTGAAAAACCCACATCTAACTCTTTTCCCCCTCAGTGTGTGTGGGGATTGTGGTATTGATCCAAACGATCATGGGCAACAGGTGAAAAGGTTATGTAAGAGTTCCCGCTAAACACTTATGATTAACTCAACACTTTTAATATAAATATTCAGATTAACAGGTTGAAACAGGTTAATGCCCAGTCCCAAAATTATTACATTTCTGAATGTGGTAACAGCTTTGGCATTAAACAGGAATTTGTGTTTAAAAAAAAAAAAACACTGCAGTCCAGGGGGGTTTATGAATATGCGTGTGTTGCAAGTAGCTAAGCTATAAGGAAGTATTTTTATAAAGGACAGGGCAAACATTTTCTTGTCAAGCTCAGGCACAAAACCTTAATTATTGATCGCGCTGTGAGGTATTGACAGTCACGTAATTTTTAGTGCTTTTTAAAATCCATGTCATATTTAAAAATTAGTTTAGATGAGATTGTCAACTTTTGATGTAGCCTATTCTGTAACTTCATCAAAGGATATAATGTTTTGAGATAATATACCTCAACACAGCAAAACTAATCAAAACCATTGTTAATACTACTGAATTCTATTTATTATAGATAAAAATGAAAAAAATGACATCTGCGCAAACAAACGTAGCTTAATTATTTAAAATGTCCCCATGTTCATCTAAATGTTATATTAATAAAATGTTTTGATGAAACTAATTCATATTTAAATAATGAGTCTGTGTTTATTGAATAATACATACGACAATGTGGACGAGTCAATGTACCGTAAAACAGGATCGACCCAGAAAACTCAAATTCCCAGAATGCAACATTCTTCTGACGAGCTACTGACTAAGGAAGTGGCCTTTTACTAATTTATTTTTTAATTATGATGATTGTATGGCGTTAGACGGGTTAATTGTCTCTTTTTTTATTGTTTTGATTGTGCATGTTTAATTGCATTGTTCCGTTGATCTCTTGAACTGTACCGGTTATTATCTGTCGCAGTCACGATGACAGTCACTGTGATCATCTGTAACTAATGAATGAACCGAAAACATCTGACCTGTTATACCAGAAACTGGCATATTTAACTGTAGCCACTGTTAGTGTATGGATATTGGACGTACTTGAACAAAGATTCCGGAAGAATCGAAGGTAAATTGTTTAATTTGACTCTATTTAGCAGATCGCAACCGGTCGCTCGCGACAAAACGCTTTGAATACATGTGCTGTTAAGAGGACAAGCGTTAAAGTAATATTTATATTATAAACCATATAACCACTCTCCATCGTCATGGATTACATACACACGGCCAGATCAGTGGAAGACCGTCTCTTGAGCTACAGAAAAGACGAGTCCGGATGGAAAACATGCAAAAAAACTGTAAGTATTCAACAGAACTGTGTCATTTTGTCATCTTTTGCAGTTGTTGGTCTATAAACAAACGTGTTTTATTTCTAGAATGATGTGGTGGTGTATTGGAGACCCTCTTGTGAATTCGCGGGTAAGCATATTTGTCACCGTGACGTCATATGTGCTGACTTCTCGTGCTGGTGTTGTATAAATACTTTAATTTGTGAAACTCCTGTTACATAGCTATTATATGAGAAATGTTATGCGCTCATAAAATTAGACATTATTCAGCCTGTGAGACTGAGATCAATACATATCCATACTCGTGCTGTCAGGGAATGAAAAGAAATCGTGAAGAGTCAAGGACATTTCTCTGTTGAAAATATGTTGCTTTAGTTATGCTTAGCTCTAAATATTTAACTAGTGCAATCACCAGCTCAGTCTTCAATTAGGGCTAGTTTTGAATACTTGAATTTGTAAAAAAAAAAAAAAAAAAAATTAAACATTGTTCAACTCTTAAGTCTGGAAGACCTGAAGATTTGATCACGGCCTTGACAAACGTGATGATTTTTGTATAATGTACTGAAAATGTATTGTTTTGAAATATTTGCTTTGTTTATGGCATACATGGATGCTGCTTGTATTATAGACATTTTGATTCATTTCTTACTTTTATTAAGTAAAAAAAAAAAATCGTTTTAATTTTGTAAATAACAGCTTTAGTTTTCTTTTCATTTGTTTTTAATGGCATTTTTGTAAGAATGTGTGAAACAATATGTTTCCCAGAATTTCATTATTTTGGGCTTGTCCTCTTTTCAGAAAACTTCCCTTCTTAGATTAAACAGAACAAAACAAAGTTGCACCTTTACTAAAAACTTAATGAAACTTTGTGAACAAATTTGTATTTGTATTTTTTAAACAAAAATATATGTACATATAAATGAAAGTCATGTACATTTGAAAAGGTGAGAACCCTGTAATATTTCCTTAATAAACATATATAGTACAGTGATATTTTATACAACTATTAATTGTATTTACATTGACTTCTTATTTATATTCACATTATAATCTGCATATTTTACTTTTTTTTTCTCTAACTGTCATTGACATCGTGTGCAAACATCATGGCAGCATTGACATTAACCTTTGTCCCGTATGCATGAGCAGTGATTGTGTGTTCTTTGGGGTTTTTAGGTATAAGGGGGAGGGGATTGTCAATGGCAGTCCAGAGAAAGTGTGGGACTGCTTGAAACCTGAAATCAATGGACTACGTGTAAAATGGGATGCTAATATAAAAAAGTTTGAGCTGCTTGAGCAGGTGTCTACGGTAAGAAAAACACAAATACACACCCATGTGAAAGGAGATCATTGTTGAGTTAAATCACATGACCTGACCAGTTCCTCTTTCAGCTAGGTGTAAGAAACAGTGTTTTATTTCAGGATTCTTATTTAAATTGCCAAAGATCGCTGATGGTACTTCTTATTTTAAAACAGCCTTTTGTATCCCAGTTTAATGTGCACAGTCAGCTATAAGTAAGCCATTTGTTGGCTAACATCCTGAAAAGTGTAAACACTGGGTGAATGGCACATAGATCTGATTGTTGAGTTTACAAACCAGCCCAAAAAGCAACATTCGCTCAACCAATAGCGTGAGTTTGAGGGCGTTGGTCCCATCAATGTCAGACTAGAGAAGTATCTGGGATACCTGTTTGAAAACAGTAATTATTTTTGCCGTTTCCCTTCGCTACACTATTATTAAATCTTATTTTTAATTTCAATTGAGATGTTCATGATGCACATGGCATTGCAATGATTTAGTACATAAAGCGGCGATCATGCAACAGTAGATTTATACATTTCTATATCTTTCCTTTTTCGTTTCGTAGGATGTTTCGATCTGTCGAACGGTCACGCCTTCGGCTGCTATGGGTATTATATCACCTCGAGATTTTGTTGATGTCATTTCCGTTAAACGCTATGAGGATGGCACAGTTTCATCAAATGGTACGCGTGGCCTTTCTCCTTTGGCTGGATCTGAATCTGACACTGAATAGAATCACAGGGTCATTATAAATAACCATTAGACCACTATCTTAATAATGCTGTTATTGATATTGTTATCAATTTATAGCTACCAATGTAAGCCATCCAAACTGTCCTTCTCAACCTGGCTACGTCAGAGGCTTCAACCATCCTTGTGGCTGTTTTTGTGTTCCTGTTCCTGGGTGAGTTTCTCATGTCTTTGGTTGATGTAATTCAAACATCAGACAGCAGATGGTGGCAAAAAAATTACATTTCAGATGTCTTTTTTTCTCCATGCATTGGTGGCAAAAAGTACATTTCAGATGTCTTTTTTTCTCCATGCATTGGTGGCAAAAAGTACATTTCAGATGTCTTTTTTTCTCCATGCATTGGTGGCAAAAAGTACATTTCAGATGTCTTTTTTTCTCCATGCATTGGTGGCAAAAAGTACATTTCAGATGTCTTTTTTTCTCCATGCATTGGTGGCAAAAAGTACATTTCAGATGTCTTTTTTTCTCCATGCATTGGTGGCAAAAAGTACATTTCAGATGTCTTTTTTTCTCCATGCATTGGTGGCAAAAAGTACATTTCAGATGTCTTTTTTTCTCCATGCATTGGTGGCAAAAAGTACATTTCAGATGTCTTTTTTTCTCCATGCATTGGTGGCAAAAAGTACATTTCAGATGTCTTTTTTTCTCCATGCATTGGTGGCAAAAAGTACATTTCAGATGTCTTTTTTTCTCCATGCATTGGTGGCAAAAAGTACATTTCAGATGTCTTTTTTTCTCCATGCATTGGTGGCAAAAAGTACATTTCAGATGTCTTTTTTTCTCCATGCATTGGTGGCAAAAAGTACATTTCAGATGTCTTTTTTTCTCCATGCATTGGTGGCAAAAAGTACATTTCAGATGTCTTTTTTTCTCCATGCATTGGTGGCAAAAAGTACATTTCAGATGTCTTTTTTTCTCCATGCATTGGTGGCAAAAAGTACATTTCAGATGTCTTTTTTTCTCCATGCATTGGTGGCAAAAAGTACATTTCAGATGTCTTTTTTTCTCCATGCATTGGTGGCAAAAAGTACATTTCAGATGTCTTTTTTTCTCCATGCATTGGTGGCAAAAAGTACATTTCAGATGTCTTTTTTTCTCCATGCATTGGTGGCAAAAAGTACATTTCAGATGTCTTTTTTTCTCCATGCATTGGTGGCAAAAAGTACATTTCAGATGTCTTTTTTTCTCCATGCATTGGTGGCAAAAAGTACATTTCAGATGTCTTTTTTTCTCCATGCATTGGTGGCAAAAAGTACATTTCAGATGTCTTTTTTTCTCCATGCATTGGTGGCAAAAAGTACATTTCAGATGTCTTTTTTTCTCCATGCATTGGTGGCAAAAAGTACATTTCAGATGTCTTTTTTTCTCCATGCATTGGTGGCAAAAAGTACATTTCAGATGTCTTTTTTTCTCCATGCATTGGTGGCAAAAAGTACATTTCAGATGTCTTTTTTTCTTCATGCATTGGTGTCAAAAAAAAAACATTTCAGATGTCTTTTTTTCTTCATGCATTGGTGGCAATAATTACATTTCAGATGTCTTTTTTTCTTCATGCGTTGGTGGCAAAAATTACATTTCAGATTTATTTTTTTCTTCATGCGTTGGTGGCAAAAATTACATTTCAGATTTATTTTTTTCTTCATGCATTGGTGGCAAAAATTACATTTCAGATTTATTTTTTTCTTTATGCATTGGTGGCAAAAATTACATTTCAGATGTCTTTTTTTCTTCATGCATTGGTGGCAAAAAAAAATACATTTCAGATGTCTTTTTTTTCTTCATGCATTGGTGGCAAAATAGTACATTTCAGATTTCTTTTTTTCTTCATGCATTGGTGGCAAAAAAAAACATTTCAGATGTCTTTTTTTCTTCATGCATTGGTGGCAAAAAATACATTTCAGATCTATTTTTTTCTTCATGCATTGGTGGCAAAAATTACATTTCATATGTCTTTTTTTCTTCATGCATTGGTGGCAAAAATTACATTTCAGATGTCTTTTTTTCTTCATGCATTGGCAAAAAAAAACATTTCAGATGTCTTTTTTTCTTCATGCATTGGTGGCAAAAAAGTACATTTCAGATGTCTTTTTTTCTTCATGCAATGGTGGCAAAAAAGTACATTTCAGATTTATTTTTTTCTTCATGCATTGGTGGCAAAAAAAGTACATTTCAGATGTCTTTTTTATGCATTTCAGATGTCTTTTTTTCTTCATGCATTGGTTTATCAAGAGAATAAAATGTTTACTTTTTTCCTCTCTCTGTAGGGAACCAGGCAAAACGCAGCTGTTCAGCTTTTTCCAGACTGATCTTGGAGGTTTGCTTCCTCGTTCGGTTGTCAATTCATTTTTCCCCACTAGTATGGTGGAGTTTTACAGCAACCTGACCAAAGCCGTAAAATCGCTGAAATAGTACCAATGGCACTTTATAGATAATATACCCCCCTTTAATCTTAAATGTGAATATTTTAATAATTTAATTGCATTTAATTAAGTTTTAGTGGAAAGTGAATTTACTGTACTTGTAGATTTATTCCTGATTCTTCCAATAGCTACACGTGTCCAAACACACTTGCACATAGAGTTAAGAGTACTGGAACATTTTGTTTGACATATTATTTAGGAAATTCTGAAAACTTGATTCAAACGATGAACTATTGCACAAAAAATTATACATTTATGCAATTGGCAGATGCTCTTACAGGGTTTCTGCGGATTTTAATCTTAATTCACTTTTAAACAAATTAAGGTCTTAAAAGGCCCTAAATAGGTGCAGAAAGCTTATAAATTCATGAATGGCATTCAATGTTGCATGCACTGCAAAAAATGAATATTTTCCTCATTATTTTTGTCTTGATATTTTGGCGGATCAAATATCTGAACATCCTTAATCAAGATACATTTACTTGAGATGCAAAATGAATATATGAAGTCTGCAACTGAACTAAACAGCACAAAATTAAGTGAGTTTATGCTTAAAACAAGAACAAATATTTGTCAGTGGGGTCTGAAATGGGGTCTCATTTTGAGCCCTTTGACAGATTTTTGTTCTTGTTTTATTCATAAACTCCATTTGGATACATTTCTCAGAAACATGGCAATTTGCTTCTTGATTTAAACATTTTTTTAGAAGCTTGCACCACAAAACAAGACAAAATAACTGAGGAAGAACATCTCTTTTTTGCAGTGTGATCAGAAGCTACAATGAAAGTAATTTCCATACTCTTGGTTGGGAGCAGAGGTATTTAAGCCATAAGCTATTTTTAGTAAAATGTATTAAAAAGTAAAAGAGTTTTGTTGGAAGTTTCAAACTTGCTAATACAACCCATTGTCTGCTCTAGACATTCACATTCAGAGAACATATTGATGTTTTGTGTTCCCTTCACTCCATTTCATACATTTTCTTTACATTGTCTTAAAATGTCTTCATAAAATCCTGCAGAAACCCTGTTTTATCCAAAGTAACTGAAAGTGCATTCAAATGACATTTTATCAGTCTGTTTGTTATATGGGAACTGAACACGGTGTTGGTGTTGCTAGCATCATGCTCTTTGCCTGTTGCAGAGTCATTCCATCAGGGTTTTTTTTGTTTTTTTTTAACCATAATTCAGTAGTGTGATCCTATAATGTAGCATGATAATAGATTTGGATTATTTTCATTCATATTGTTCATTCATTGTTAACTTTTTTGGACTATACAGCTCTATTTTAAAAGGTAGTGAGCTGCCTTGCCGTCTGCTGGTTTGGAGCTCCCTACATAGGCAGCACAAATAATGCTCCTCACATGAAGCATAAGGGAGTCGACTCACGATTGATTTAAAGAGTTTGATTTTATCATACAACATGACGCTACTTTAGAATGAGGTATCTTAGAAGGCAACATAGGGTTACTGCTTCTGTGTCAGGAGTGCATGTTTGATGTCTGGCCTAAATAGGCAGTTCACTCATTTTTGGAACAGAGTTTTATTTTAATAAGCTGTTTTGAGAGTTTCAGTTACATATTTGAGGACAGTTGTCTTGGACTGGAGATTACATTTTTGAGTATTGGAGTTTTTGATAGATGCTCAAGCTTGACCCTTACACAACAAGTCTGGGTGTTAATTATGCTGAAACTTTCTATAAGTATTTCCATATTTGAATATTTTAGCGCATAAATGGCTTTGGCAAATCGATGTTTACAGACAGACACATATCTTCAGACAAATTTGAAGAATTGCATTTACTGCTGTTCTCTGTTAACACAATTGAGTTTATGTACTGTATTTTTGAGACTGACAAAAAAGGCCAGAACAGTCATGACAGGATTATGATGAGGGATGTTATGATATAATGATAAAAGAATAGCCCACAGGCTTAAGGTTTAGCTGGTTGGCATGACCCCAGTGGCCCCTGCTGGTGGCCCAGTATAAAGCTTTTTTCTCCACTGATGGCCAATCAAAAGTATCCTTGTGTTTGTTGTATACAAGTATCCTCATCCACTGGGCCCTGTGCCAGCCAGACCAGCAACTGCCATTAAGATGAATGAGAATTCTAATAGAACGGGGAGTTGAGTGGAACCCTGTGTGGAATCAGAGTAATTAAGAATGACTGAAATCCCCATATTTTTTAGTTCCCGAGTTTGAATTGAGGTAGAGAACAAGATGCAGAGTTTGAATTAGAATTTACTGAATTGAATTAAACAAGTGACTGAATGAAATTTAAAGAAATCATCTGAAATATTTAAAATTAATATTAAATATAGTATGTTATATACTTAATAAATTAACTCAATGAGTTAATCATTTGATGAATCATGGAAGAAAGTTAAAAGGGATAGTTTACCGAACAATTCTGTCAACTCACCCTCGAGTTGTTCCAAATCTGTATTTATACTTGAAGACAAAATATATTTAGAGGAATGTGGGTAAGCTAATTATTGCTGGTAGCCATTGACTTCCGTAGTATGAAAAAATAAAAAATACAATGGAAGTCAATGGCTACCAGCAACTATTTAGTTCAGACTCATACAGGTTTGGTGTGAAGTTGAACTCTCCCTTTAATTTCCCAACATGCTCTAATTTTCCCCAAAGTCTAAATGATTGTGTTTGACTAATGAGTTCCTCTGTTGTTTGATTGTTGAACATCTCATTTCAAATTCTATTCCAATTTTGCATCCTGTGGGGCGTGGCCAATTCAATTTAAATATACATGCATGAATTAAAAGGGAGTGCATTTTTAAATTGACAGTTATGCCCGACCCTTTTAAAACATTCCAAAAATATGGAAATTATGATTTTTTTTTTTCCCCCATAGACATAGTAGAAATGAATCCCATTTTGGCTTTCTATCTCTGCTTGTAATCCGTCGTAATCGCACATGGACAAAGGGACTGTTTAATATATCACTGCGATGACTGACCTCAGAGGGAACCCAGTGTGTTGCGTGACTTTTTGATCTCTTTAATTACCTTTTGCCCATTTGTGTCTAGCTGCACGATTGTCCTCCTGACATGTGTCTCAACCCGTAGGTAGTTTGTGTTCATATGCCTGTATGCCGTCAGTGAAATTACTGTGAACGCATGCTCATGGCCTGGAGATGTGTGCTTTTTTATTCTTTTTTTTATACTGTAAATGAGCAGTATGCTCTAGTGCATTTCAGGATTATTTTGGGAGTCTAGATTTTACACCCGTTTTGCAAGGAGTGTGTGCTTGACTTCAGTAGTATTGTGCAAAGTTCTCTGTATATTTTAATAATACACACAGATTTACATTCCGAAAGCAGTGTATACACTTTGTCAATTCTGTCAAGTGAGAGTTTTTGATTATTCCAGATTTTTTATTTTCTTGAAGTCAACATGAAGTGTCATTCGCAAGTCATTTTATTTCTGTAAACTGATGGATTTAGAATAAAACATTTGCCGGTACATGATTTTATCCTCCTGGAATTGATTGGATCATGAAAAGTGGGCGGTACAAACCAGAATGGAGGCAGATGATTGGATGGGACAAGTCGAACAGTATGAGGGATTCGTAACGAGCGAAGCAAGCCAGTATATTTTCAGAGTATAGAATTTTTAATAACATGCAGTGATGGACCTAGAGATATGCATTGAAATCAGGTCATTTCTCATTTCATGTTGAATTCAAATGTGTTTTTGCTCAGTGCAGTTTATTATATGTCCACCTGCCGTTGACTGTGAGACATGTGTGTACTGTTTGTTAATACTTAAAAGAAGCAAAAACAAAGGAAATTGCACTTTGTAAAACCCATTGTATGATTCTCCTTTTAGATTCTGTTTTCAGATATTAAAAATGACTGATGACCATATTTATCATTTGTATCACACTTTATTTCAACATTACAAACCTTAACAAGTAATTACATGTAAAACATCTTTCTTCTGACACAGTTTCAATATATTAAGGCCTTTCTTTTTAAGGGGGAAAAAAACTAACAAGACCAGAATACTAGAGGTACAGTAGTTTTTTTTTTTTTTAACTGTCAAAGGTGTATTCTGTTAGATAATATATATTTTTGAAAACATCAAAGGAATATATTTATTATTTCTGGCTTTGAAAAACTAGAGCAATGTACTGTTAGGGGGAGCATTTGACAAAAGATTTTTGAAATATTCTATTTCTGATCTCTTGAAAACTGTGCCACAAATGCTTCATGACATGTTCTTTACATTCTGCTTTGCTGAAATGGTGTAGCAATATATCCAAAACTATTTATAGGCTTGTGCAAATCATTGCATCAAAACAGGCAGACTTGAAAAGTATCATTTTTTTTTATGAATCCCTGATTGTGACAGTAAAACAGTACTATACTAGCACAGTGAAGCGCTATAAAACTCTGCTCAGAAAAACAAGCATTCCTGATCATGTAGTACCACATCATGCAGTGATGCACATCATATAGGATATGAAAGTCATACTGTCAGTATGCATTAATGGCAAAATGGAGCAATCAAGGCAACTGAACGATCCCAACAGGGTTCCCCAGTCATGGAAAATCTGGAAATATCAGGGAAATGGGATTTCCAGGCCTGCAAAACTCATGAAAGTGAGGGGGAGGGGGGAACCTAAAAGTCATGTAAAGGTTTACAGTGTGTATAGGTTTTTCTTGCTCAACTCCAAAACACTTAATTGGATAGAAATTGATCTTTTTGACTGCAGTCTTGATTGCAGTAAGAAAAATTAAAATGAAATAAATTCATTGGTCAAATCATATGGGAACCCTGCTTTTAAGAAACACTGATTTGTAATGTACATTTTTTAGCAAGTGGAGGTATTTCCCCAATGCTTGAAATGAAGTTTGAGATGAGTCCAGTATTTTCTTCTGGGTGCTTCTGAGTGGAGTTTAGCTCTAATCGCATTTTTTTCTCTTAATGACGAGTGTAAACGGCCCATCATTAAGGCCTTTAATGAGTGTCCAGGCCTCAAAGCGTGTGAGACCCTGCAGAGACGAGTCCTGTATCTGCAGTACCTCATCACCAGACTTCAGCCCCTTTTGCTCAGCGTCACTCCCTGCCAGAAAAAAATACAGTATATATTGTATGATTCATGCTACATTCTAATTTGCAGGCCCACATGTAATCTGCACCCGCATAACTTTACAAAAAGATTTCTGCAAAATGAGAAAACCACACCATATTTGTTAGTTTATCAAAGGTTTTGGTTATTTAGATGCCACACTGAAATTAATTTGGTGTAGAAACACTTTTTGCTCAGAATTTTACAATTAATTACAAGAAACAACAAAGTAGCATTGAATTAGATGTGATTTTTTTTTGTAGAAAAACTGAAATGGTATATGCTCGTGAAGTGTACTCCAATAATCGTTTTATTTCCCACTTAGAAAAAACATTTTTACAGTACAGTACTCTTAAAGGGGTCATATGATGCGATTTCAATTTTTCCTTTCTCTTTGGAGTGTTACAAGCTCTTGGTGCATAAAGAAGATCTGTACAGTTGCAAAGACTAAAGTATCAAATCCAAAGAGATATTCTTTATAAAAGTTAAGAGTCAACCACGCCTACCTAAAACGGCTCATTCTAACATGCAAAGAAAGAAGGTGTGGTTTCAGGAACAGCAGTAGTGTTGATGCAGCCATGTCAGGGAGACGCTGTGCTTCAGTGCGAAAGCAAAAGCACTTTATTTGGCTTTCCGGAAGTAGATGTAATTAGGAATCATTGGTTAAGATGTATTTACAACAGAACAGCACAACCCAGATGTGCACAAAGGCTATTTCTAAAAAAAAAAAAATTACATCACTTGCTCAACCAATGGATCCTCTGCAGTGAATGGGTGCTACATTTCTCCAAATCTGTCCTGAGGAAGAAACCAACTCATTTACATCTTCGATGACCTGAGGGTAAGTACGCTCTGAGCAAATGTTAATTTTTGCGTGAATCATTCATTTAAGGTTCAGTTGTAGTCTCACCTGTAAATATTCTGTTGACGGTTAGTGGTCTGTCACCGTTAATGGAGCCTTTTCCTCCCTCAAGACTAAATCCAACTCCACCTGCATTCTTCTCCAACTCGATTGTTACAACTTCACCTCCATCGTCCCCTAAGAGTCATTTTTTGAAACAAAAACCATAGAATGAATTAACACGTATTTTGCATATTTATATTTGTGTTGAGCACTATTTGGATAAGATTAATTTTCTAAATGTTATTAACATAGTGACTGCATCCAGATATATCATAAAACCCACTGAAATTTGATTCTTGAAACACCAGCTCTTAAAGAACTAAGTCCATAATGGCAGCACAAGAAATTTGGCTTTAGTTACGAAGCATTGTGAAAAACAGCTGATGTGTCAGATTTGGATAGAATTAGTCCATCTGTGAAACATGAATTCTCCTCATGGAAAACTAGTCCAGTTCAAATAGGGCTTTTAATTTGACTTCAGTCGTACAGTTTTGTTTTTTATTACACAACATGCAGCTCTTGTAACATTCCTGTATTCCTTCTGTGCCCTATTAAACATTGACATTAAACATTAATGCCATTCCTGTGCTGACGTCAGTAATGTTGGCCCACCTGTGATGCTGCTCTCTGCCCCACTGCTGCAGCTGGACTCATTAGCGTTAGCGCCTCCCTTCCCTTCTGGGTCTTTGTTTTTGGACACCACTATCACCGCCTGCTTCATGGTGCGGGCCTGCCTGAGAATCGCTGTGGCGTCGCTGTGTGTGACGTTTTTTAGCGTTTGACCGTTAATGGACAGCACCTCATCTCCTCTTTCTATGGTGCCCTCCTGAGCAGCCAGACCACTGGGAAACACCCTGTGAACCTGAAGGTAAATGATACAGTAAATACATAAATAAATAAAAACATATACAGTAAATAAAATCAATATATACAGTTATTTTGCTAGTATTAACTGTATACATTTAGCATTTACAGTGGAACCACTGGAAGTTTGTAACTATAAGATCTTAAGTTTAGGGTAGTATTGTTTTAATTTTTTTTTAAAAGAAGCCTCTTATGCTTACCAAGGCTGCATTTATTTAATCAAAAATAGTAAAAAAAAAAAAACAGTAATATTGTGAAATATTTTTTACAATTGATAAAACTGTTTTCTGTTTGGATATATTTTAAAATGTAATTTATTTCTGCGATGCAAAGCTGAATTTTCAGCATCATTACTCCAGTCTTCAGTGCCATATGATCCTTCAGAAATCATTCTAATATGCTGACTTGCTCAAGACATTTATTATTACTATCAATGTTTTTGTGGAAACCGTGATTAATAGAAAGTTTAAAAGAACAGCATTTATTTGAAATATAAATCTTTTGTAACATCATTAATGTATTTACTGTCACCTGATCAAGTAAAAGTATTTTCTATTTAAAAAAAAATAAAAAATCTAACCCCCTTCAGTGTCATATGATCCTTCAGAAATCATTCTAA